CGACCGGCACGGCAGGCTCTCCCGCCTCCAGCCTTGGGGCACTCGCCTCGGCGTCCCGTTTCCTGGTTCCTCCCCTCACCCCGTCACTGTAGTCCTGCCTCGAGTCGGTTCTGCACCCGGTGGGGGCTCCGTGCGAGCGGGCAGGTGGGGAGGGCTGGTTTGGGGAAACCGGAGGCTTGCTGTGGAAGTGTGGGCTGGAGACCGTCTTCCTTCCACTTGGGGAGTCTCCCCATCCCCCTCCACGGGGGGCATGGAGCGGGCTCGCCCGCGTCTCCCAGGTATGGTGTGGACGAGACGTGGGCCGGGCGGGCCACTCCAGGGGAGGGTCTGTGAGGACAAGGGTGCTCGTCGGTTTTACTCGCTTCTGGGTCCGCTGCACCTGCAACCGCGCCTGGCACACTGTAGACACTGATCGGAGAGACCCCTAGTTACGGAAAGAGGGAGAGGGCGCTGACTCATAACTAGTTAAAACCTTAATTCCAACATCAACATCCTATTTTTCAGTTTAAAGCAACAGACATTTGTCACATGCGCACTGTGTACCAAGCACCGTGATGGGCACTGGGGATACAGTGGGGAACGGGTCAGACAAGATAGTTGCCCTTTTAGGAGCTTATACTCTAATAGGGGAGACAAAATAAGTCAATAAGAAAACTAATGAGACACCTTTGGATACTAATAAGTACTTTTGTAAAAATAAAAGAGCGAGATGTGATAACAAAGGAATGCTTTTGATAAGGTGTCAAGAAAGTAATCCTTTCTGAAGGGTGACATTTGAACGGAATACTGAAAGGCAAGGAGCATCCCTGTGGGGTTTGAGAGAAGAGCGTTCCGGGCGGGGAGGATCAATACGGTTGACTAGATCTGGCCTCACTGCCCCTATATAGGCCTTTGGTTTGGAATATGTAAAAAGACCTGTTTTTCCTAACAAACTGCGTAAGCAAAAAGTTTTTTTTCTGCAGAGTTTGAGATTGCCATCAGCTTTCTCACTTTATCTGGTCCAAGGTACAGCGCTGAGATTCTCCTGGGGCCTGGGAGTGGTCTTGTGAACTTTGCGCTCCTCTGGGAAGAAGGTCCCTGGCTTTCCTCAGATTCCCATCAGGGTCTGACTCCCTCAGGGGTCAAGAACTAGTGACATAGAGGTTGTTGCTTAGATAACCTTGGAGGAATTTACTGAGATTTAGACTTGCAACGCTTGTCTGTTCAGAAAAACCAAGGCTACGTGTTGGATGTCGTTTTATCAGGAATGCTCGATAAGCACTACAAAGCAGTTTGTTAGTTAGGCCAAAAGGCCTGGTACTTATAACTCTGCTTGGAAATCTGCCTGGATTCTATCCTCTCACTATTACTTTTAAGTGTATTGTCACACACGATTCAAAATAGTTATTTGGCAGAAAAGTCTCCGTTCCTTCCTCAGAAAACAACATATAATTTTCACCAAATTATATATCACATTCTTGGAACCTACTTATAAAATGGATCATCAGGGGCCATAACATTGAGAGCTTATTAGACATTTTTGGATCATATCTTTCTTCAGAAGTTCAGATTTTTCCAACCCATATTGTGGAATGCACATTCAGTGTGTTAGTAGTGAATGTAAGAAATAGCCTGTAAAGGAAGTAATTCGACCATAGGTTAAATGAATAGCAAGTTGACATAGTGGCTCAACGTCATAAAATTGAGTAATAGGAGCTATAGTAAGGAGACCTACACTTTAGTGTTGAGTTGAACCAGCCATCTTGTTTAAGAGAGTAATTGTGTGTTGTTGCTGTTAAATAAAAATGACTATTTTACTTATGAACAGTAGAAAACATACAGCAAAGTGCCTGCATCTCAAGACACAGTCCTCTTTCCAGTAAAAGTAGCCGCAGTGAGCCTGTGTATAAGAAGGGTTGCAATGGAGCTAGTATTTTAGAGGTTACCATGTGTGGATTATCATTAATTTTTGATAAGAGGAACGTTAAATGACTACTCAAAGTCGAAATGCTTGAATGAGAAGAGCACTTAACAGGAAACAGCCTCTGTGATATGAGTCCAATTGTAGCTTGTCAGGGGAGGGGAGAGGGGCTGCTGGATAGGGATTAGGAGTGTGTGCTCTAGACTCAAGACTGCCTGTGTTCCTTGCCTTCCACTTGTTATCTTTGTGATCTTGGAGAGATCGACCTTCCTCAAAGGGTTATTATAAAGTTAGTTGACATGTGCAAAGAACTTGGCATGTAGTAGGTGCTCTGTAAAGGCTTGCTGCTCTTATGTTTATTATTTTAAGCTACAAACCAGAGAAACTATAAGTGCCCTGGCTTAATGTAGTATATTAACCTACATTTCTTCTTCATTCAGCAGTGGCTTTTTCTTTATTTGGTTTGTAGATGCAATAAATAAGAATTTAATTACATAACAAAAAGACTGTTTATTGCTAAATAAACCCAATGAAGATGGGGTGGTTGTCTCTTGTAAAAACAATGATGATCAAGATGGAAAAAGTTTGGAGTAATCTCACTGATTCATCTCCACTAAATGCCGAATGCATAGAGACTCACTCCCAAGTAGGGGTTGTGTCCTTCCAGCCTTTATCTGGAGAAATCAGAAGAGCCCGTGAGAGTATTCATCACCACAAGTACATTGTGGCTCTTTACCATGTTAACAAATTTTTGACATATAAGTAAGTAATCTTGAACCTTTCAGCCCCCTGTTGGGTAACATAATTATATCACTAAAACTCCCTTTCTTGTCTTATTTAAGAACCATTTTTTCCCCATGATCTCTCCTTAACTTATATTGCTGCTTTTTTTTTTAAATTCTCACTCTAGGATATGCTTATTGATTTTGAAGAGAGAAATATCAATTGGTTGCCTTCCTTCCATGCCCTGACCACTATTGAACCTGGAACCTAGGTATATACCCTGACTTGGACTCGAACCCACAACCTTTAAGTATATGGGATTACACTCCAATGCAACTGAGCCACCTGGCCAGGGCATCTGCTCTTGAACTATATGGAGTTTGCAGACTTGACAAGATAATTGAGTGCTTTTAAATTGAGCAGAGAAAAATTTGTCTGGAAATCTGAAAAACTTCAATGGAATTCTAACAATACTTTACATATATATAAGAGATACAATATCTTCTTTAATAATTTAATATGCACAAATGGCCAAGTAAGGGTTAAGTGTTCTATAATTGTTGTCATTATTTCTTAGTCATTATCAAGAATATGTAAAGCCAATAATAAACATACCTATATGTTTTTCAAATGACTTTTAAAAATTGAATTTATTTTTTAGAGTAGTTTTTAAATTCACAACAAAATTTCATTAAAGGTACAGAGAAGAATTCTCACATAGCACCTGCCCCACACATACATAGCCTTTCCCATTATCACTATCTCTCACCAGAGTGGTACATTTATTACAATTGATGAACCTGAATTATCATTAATGTAAACACCCAATTGAGTGACTTTTTAACATCTCATGTTATGTCGTAACTATGATATCTACCATGTACTGAGCATTTCTTATGTTTCAGGCACAATGCCATGAGCTTTACATGCAGTTTAGTTCTTACTGTTACCCTCATTGAGGCCCAGAGAAGTTGGCCAGCATAACTCAGCCAGTAAGCAATGGAGCTGGGGCGTGAACACAGGCAATCTGGCTCCAGAGCCCAAGAACTATTACTACCATGCTGTATTGTTTCTCCATATAAAAGTTCTTGTATATGAAGTCTTTAAACAGTTATTATACTACAATGATGTTTCTGTGCAAATGAAGTTTTAATAAAGTTTCTGTAAGTAAACCACTCAGTAAGTAAAGAGACCATATTTTCTATAGTTGGGATGTATTTGAAAGGCCACTAATGAGAAAGATCACAACTATTTTTCCTGCAGGGTTTTACTGCATGGGTCTTTGGTTTAATTTATGGACTAATGGGAGAAGTAAATGAGGTAAAGAGCTGGTTTCCCATAAGTTTCATTTGAGTTATGAAGTTCTTCTGATTTATGACATCCCTCTTTATCAGCCATGAACTCCCTCATATTAATTCTGGAGTTTTATGAATTCATCAATTCGTATAATTGATGGCTGTCTTTAGGTCCAGTAGCGAAAGGGGAACCAAGGCCCAGAGAGCAACTTGCCCACACCTGCACAGCCAGATGGGGAAGCAGCTATATACAACACAGCTCTAGCCTGACATAAATGATAAATTAATTTGTAGATTTTCTACTCTGTTAAATATATGGGATTTAGAGATAAGTGGATCTTTGGAGAGCTTAGCTTGAGCTGTCTTGATGGCAGGATGAAGGTGGAAACCAGACTGGAGTGGGTTGAGGCATGAGTGGGAGGTAGGGAA